AGATGTTATTCATATAAAATACAAATTTTAATGTAACCTAATTATGTACACTATGATAAACAGTTTAACTAGAAAAATTGAAAATAAATAATGTATCTAAATACAAATTAGAGACTTATAATGGCTCATTTCATCTTAAATAAATCAACAATGTTTTGTGGCAATTTCTAACATTAACTTGAGATTTTCTTGTTAGAAAGTTGAATAATTTTAACACATTCAACATTATAGATAAGAAATAGTGAATTTTATATAGTGCTTTTTTTTTCAAGACTTAGCATGAACAAAACAAATTCACTGATTTGGGTAAAAAAAAAAAGACCCCAGAATGACATCAAAATCCACAAAATTTTTTCATCCTTTAGTAGTCAGTTTTGCTTAGTTATGTAAACACAACTTAGATAGAAAAAAAGTAAATGTTGATAAGATAGCAAGGGTCATAAAGCACTGAATACATTTATATATTTGTGAAATTCATAAAATCTAAAGAAATTAAAAAATGAAATATTGTTTAATTTCTTCATTTTCTTCCTTCTTAGCAGCAATTAAGAAGTAATTAGAGTTTAACAAATAAAACAAAAACTGATTTACATTCAGTTGAATGGAAGTTTAAAATAGTTTAATTTTTGATACATCAGTAAAACTGTCAAGTATTTTTTAAATATCTAAATTAATCTGTTTTTTAAACTTTCTTTTTCACAACATCAGTTATTATTTATTTAGCTAATATTTGAAATAATATTTTACTTCAATTTTTATTTGATTTGAAAAAAAATGTTTTTTTTAAACTTCACTATCTTGATATAAATACTCTAATCCAACTAAACTTAAATTGAAATATTAAGACACATTAAATTGGACTTAAGATGAGTAGGCTGGGTTTATATCAGTTAAAAAAATGTTTTGTGAATTGGATAAGTGAAATCTTTGACAAAATATCAAATTATACAAAAAGAGTTGGAAGTATCTATCCTTCATAAAAACTTGTTCAATGACAAGATATCTTTGAGCAAGACTTATTTGTAATTTCTTCAATAAACATTTAAAAATATTTTAATTTGAATAATGCAAATTGTTTTACAGATCTACTTATTCTTAATCAAGTTCTTCTAAGATACCTTTTCAATCTCTTTTATCAAAAGTTCAATATTTTTTTTTCAATTTAATTTAATATTCTTCAACAAATTTACCAAATATCATTTATTAGTATGAACACATGTTAGCATGCAATTAATGCAATCCCATTTTGATTATTTTTTTTAAATTCAAAGAAAAACATTCTATTTATCTTTATATTATTTTATTCAGAACATAGAATTTGTAGTAGAGATATTGTTTTATATAAAATAAATGTTGTTATTAACTGCTTGTTATAGAAATAATTTTGTCTATTTTCTTTAAACTTTGCCTAAGTTACGGATCTTGACTTCATTCTTTGAAAAAATTTGATACTCAGTTTAGATTAAATAAATACCAGTGCATTTACCTGAGTAAATTTCTCAGGTGTTTACATTATTCCAAAACCACCATTTCTTATTTTTCAACCTGGTTGAATTTTCCTGTCATTTTTTGAATGAAGGCGATCTGCTGCTGCTGCTGCTGCTGCTTTTCACAAGCCAAACCATACAGAAGCAGACTTTCAGTGGAACCAACACACAGACACAATATTGCAATACAAGTGCACCAGTTTCCCTGCTGGCAAGAGAAACGGGAGGCAAAGTGTTTGGGTGGAGTTGCGAGTGGATGTGTACCCTCTTTCCACTGACTTTTTTTTTTTTTTAACTCATTTACTGATACATTTTTTTTTTGTCTGTCTTTGATTTATTTTCTTTCTTTCCCTCTGTGAATTTCTTCCTTTCATTACACTTTCTTTTTAATTAACACTGAACTGCCTCTTCTTTTCTCTTAAAAATCAAGTTTCTTTTTTTTTTCTCTCAACACAATTGATTGCCTATTTTACTATGCTTATCCATTTATATTCAAAGTTAATTTTTATCCTCTGTTTCTTGCCATCTCACCCTCCCGCTTTTATGAGTTTGTTACCCTACTGTGCATCCCTATAAGTTTTTTTAAAATATTTTTTTACCGTTTTCTTTTCTCTTTTGAGCCTAGTTCTGATTTTACCTGCTTGATAATTCTTTTTGGGTTTTTTGTACCCTCTTTCTTTCTTATAGATGAATGACGATACATTCACGTGTGTGTGTGTGTGGGATCCCTTGTGCTTCCATGCGTGTTGAAGCCTTCCATTAAAAAAAATCTTATTTATTCACTTCTCTTCTTCATCATTGTCAATTTTTATTTTATTCTTTATCGTCATCATTTTTTGTAACTCTTCTTTTTAACTGACTCACGAAAAAAAAATCCTTTTTCTCCCCACACCTTTTCTTTTCTCCTCCTTCTCTATTTTCACTTTGTTTTTGATCTTTTTCTTCACACGATGTTTTTTTTTTTTATTCGTTCATTTGCACTATGGAGAATCACACACTTAGGGGAGGTGCCCTTATTCGGGGTCAAGAAGTTAAATGCCGCTGATGAATGGTCAATGCAATGGGTATTTCGTCTGTTCAAGCAAAATAAAAAAAAATTGAATTGAATGAATGTCTTCCTAAATCCAACGAAGGGATAAAAATGCAAAAGATACGGGACGGCCGATGCGAATATGCTCACTTCATTCACAGATTTTTTTTTTTTTAAGGGATTAACCCTTGTATTGTATATTTAGCACTATAAAAAAAAAAAAAGCAAGGCACAAACAAACCGGCGATGGTGTTTCAAGTGAATTTTCTTCTTTACTCCCCTGCGCACTTTCAGTCACCATTGTAATAAGTGCACGCACCCAGGGTGGTCATAACGGGTAGGTGTTGTTACTCAGCCAAGAAGAAGGAAGAAGATCAGCTTAATAATAATTTAAGCATTATTATATTCGTTGGGGTCGGGTAGGATTAGCAGAGATATGTGACCGCTACCGTAATATCTTCAAAAAATCTTTCGCCTTAAAAATAATTGACTAAAAATCGACGGTGGTTTAAATGTTACTTAAAATAAATAAATTTTACTTGTTTGAGATGACTCTCTCTCTCTCCCCACCTCTCTCTCTCTCTCTCAGGAATAATTTGTTTTTAACAGCAATAACAATAATAATAATCATCATCATCATAAACTTTTTTTACACGATAAAGAAATTTTTGTAGTTTACTGAAGAAATGACTTAGTGTTTTTTTTTTTTTTGTGTGCGTGTTTTCTACGTCACCTTATTTACAAACTAGAGAATGAATCTTTTTTGTGTATTGTGTGCGGTAATCAAGCTTTTCTTTTCTATGGTCTGTCCACTCTCTAGTTTGTTTTCTGAAATTAGTTTTCTTACCACTAATTAAAGCGTTTTTTGTTTTCGATTTTTTTTTTTTGTTTTGTTTTGTTTCATTTTGTTTTTATTGTTGTGAACCAGTTGAGTCTTTCCTTTTATTTTTTTTATTACAATGTCAAATAAATAAACAAAATAAATCAAAAACATTTATTTCCATTATGGAAATGATCCTTCTTTTTAAAATTGTTAACAAATAAAATAAAACAAAGGTACGGACCAGATAATTACACGCTTTTTCACGAGAGTAAAATAATGCAAGCCATGAACAAATGAATTTTTAACTTTATGATCATCACTAACGTTGAAATTAAAACTAAGTATAAAATGATTCTACTACACTACACTAATTATACTCATTATAACAATAACATTCTTAAAAAAAAAAAAAAACTTCCTTTTGATTTCATTATTTTTTTTTACTTTTTATAACTTCGAAAAAAGTCTCTTGTATTAAAAAAAAAATTGGACAGTGAAAGAATTTTTACTATAGATAAAAAAAAAAAAACAAAAAAAAACGAGGGTAATTGCCACTAAAACTTGTTTCAGGATTCCTGATTACTGAAATTGTATGTAAAGACCCAAAATTAATAGGAAAATAAAAACCGAAAATTATGAGCACGTTTTATGAAAAGCTTCGCGACATATAAGATCTGTCATAATCAAGTTGCAGTGGAAAACGCGCGTACACACACACACACACACCTCGAAATTTGGTTAGCATGCCACAGACAATTATTTGTGCTTGTATAGTGAGTTCGATTCTCACAAAGTACAACATTACTATTTGAATTTGAGCCTTGTCACTATAAGCTTAGGAAATAATAATGTGCATCTGTAAAATGGACTTTCCCGGTATTATCCAGGTGAAAAATAGATGGAAAATAATTTGTCACAAAAAGTTACTTAAAAAACCTAACAGAAAATGGGTGGAAAGTTTGTTTTGCTTCTGACAAAATCATACTTATCAGTCAATACCCAATTTTATGAAAAGTTACCCGAAATTCGGCTTAAAAGCCATTATATCTACTACCTTGTGGACATAAAAATGTTTCCTAATTCCACATTGTCTATTTATAAAAATGGTCCATCTCCAATACTGAGCAATCTTCACCTATAAATCTTAAAGCGTGGAAAACAGGTAGAGAAATTAATAAAATCTATAAAAAATGCTAGCCAGTTTTACTGGCTATGGCTATTTAATCTTGATATTATTTTTAACACAATACTTTACATAAATCCAGGTTCAGTATCATTTAGCTAGCATTTGTATTATTACCTCGATTTGCAGTTTGATTCTGATTAAAATTTTACGCCTTGGTCAGTGTTTTATATTACTCATCCTGTTCTTGAGCTGATCTTTAAATAGAAATTAAAAATGTCTGGGAAGACTCTCCTAAGTGATCTCACTTCTCTTATGTGAATCTATGGATTATTAAAAGACACTGAGTTTTTTTAGCTTTAACACAATTCAAAAATAAACATAAAAGCAAAGCGTTCCAAGCTACAGACATCAGGGAATGCCTTCTTAACTATCTTTTCTCGGTGTCAAGAACTGTAGTAATCGTATCGACGAGTTCTCAGTACTGTTGATGAAAACATCTGGATTTTTGCCGTATGTAAACGGACACTATTCGGAATGTTCAGCGTATCGAAAAAAAAAAACAAACATCATTCATTTTCTTCTTCATCGTTTTTTTGCACATCTTTCCCGATATTACATTCCGCTAACTATAACGTGGTTTGTCCTTTCCCACTTAAAACAAACACAAGAATAAATTAGATTTTCAGTTTAAAAAAAAAAGAGGGGAAATTGTTAACAGTTCCATAAAATTCAAAGATTAGAAATATTTAATGTCAAAAACAACAACAACGTATAATAAATGCGTTCTCGTTAAAGAACTAAAAATACTTTTAAAAGTAAAACTATCCCTACCTATATAAAATATCTTCAAGTTCTTGTTTTATTTTTGTTTCTTTATTTAAAACAAGAAAAATGTATTACATGCAATTTATGGAACACAATATGATTTTTGGCAAAATACACATACATAAAACACGAAGTTGCGTGTTGTTGTTTTTTTTTGTTTGCTTTTTGTTGCTGTTTTTTTTATTTAAGAAAGCTGTTTTACACATTAACTGGTAGTGATCTTGGGGTACCTCAGTACAATAAACAGAAATATTTGAAAATGCTTTTTTAAAATCTTACTGATCATATTAATGAATTATAACTTTTTAAAATTTTAGAAAATAAATAAAGAAAGAAAAGATTCAAAAGAATAATGAAAGAAGTCTAAAAGAATTTTTACTTAGCTCGTTGACCGTTTCTGTTGCAAAAAAAAAAAAAAAAAAAATAACCTGTGTTTTTTTTTTTGTTGTTTCTTTACTAAACTCAATGAATGTAAAAAAATATTAAAATGTGTGAATGGAAGTAGTATTTACTAAGCTAATTACATCTGATGATTGCGTTACAACAAAAAATAAACGAAAAGGAGGAATCTGATAATTTTTTTTTTTGTTGATTGTTAAGATATGGAAGCAGGATCCTCCATAAGATATCTTTCAAGAAAGTGAAGAAAGTCAATGGCGAAAAGTTGATTACCATCATTTTTGAAGCAACAAACGAAAAAAAAAAAAAAAAATAAAGCATAAAAAATGACAAGGTGGGAAATTGTAGTCATTGTAGTGAGTTTGTTAATTAAATAGATACAAGTTTTTTAGGGTTTTTTTTTTCAGTTCTACAATGAATTTATTATAACTTTAAAAAAGACAAAAAATTTCGCCTAAAATACAATTGCATATTATCTCAGATTCTCATGTCATGTAGATTTTTGTTATCCATTGAAGAAAGATTTGACGGAATAACCAAGAATCTCTTAAAAAATAATATTTGGTCAGATTTTGGGAGATGGGTCGAACCGAAAACTTTTCTCTACTTTATCGTAGAGAACACTATTTCGAACATAAACCAAGTCTGAAGAACCACAGAGAGAATGCAATGCATATATTCGCAAAAATACGAGTGTTTAAGTAAAAGAATATAACAACATTTACACGGAGTTCTCGTCATCAAAATCCACTAGACGAAACAAACCAATGAAGGAATTATTTACGGAATTATAAATTAATAAATACAGGTGCGGTAGAAATACCTCTCATCCGCATAATAATAAGGAAGACATTTTTACTGGCAATAGTGTCTTGTAGGATGCATTTCGGTCTTACCCTCTGCTTGAATTGATTTAAAAAGTTTTAACTACTGTCCTTGGAACTAAAAGTCAAAGCGTAAAAGTAAAAAACTGATAGAATGAGATAAAGAAGATTATTACTAGTTGCATTATTGAACTAATTGCGAGTTTTTTTTTTCCATAATCTGGAATAGGATCAGATAAGTTCGCCTATCGTCCGGTTCAAACTGTTCCCGGTCTTTTGAACAGGAGTAGAGATTTATCCCTTATTTCCGGTTCTTCTTGAAGTTTCTTCATTTTCTTTCACTCCCACAGTAGCCCCTTGCGTTTATGGAATTATCACCTTGCTTGAGTTGAATTCATTAAAAAAAAAAGAGAAAGAATTGGGCAGTTTATTCTCATTTACTTTCAACCTGGTTCTCTAAGTAAAACTTGAAAACTTTCGTACGGCAATCTGTTGCGTTAAGCTCAGAGTCAAATTTGCAAGAGAAACATGGTTTGTATGAATTTTTAAGTTTTCAGGTGTGTACAGGTAGCTTCAATTGTTGATACCATAAAACTCTTTAAGAGTTCCCTCAAGGTTTTACTTCGACGTCATCCGAAGCCAGTTAAACCAAAAGTGATGTCTACCGGATTATTCTACGCTCTCGGAACGAAAATATTACTAATGTTCGTCGATGAGAGCTGATTAAAAAAATGATTCAAATATTTCAGTCATAAGGGGTAAAAAGATCTGTACAGTCAAACAGTTGCTCTTTTACTGGGGGTCGTTAAGTTTTATGGACGCGGTAGTAGTGGTGGCATCAGTGTTCACTGAAAAGTTCCCATGAATTTTTATTCTTTGCGATCTCTGACTCAGGTCCGATAAAGAAAAAAGGAAACTAAAGAAAATGTGAGTGACTGTGCACATTATATGTGTGCAATGTAAGACTACTCATGATTTGTGATATCAGTAATTCAGCTGGTTAGAGGATGAGGACTTTGTATTGGGTAAGGGGCCCTACCAGCTGCTGGCAGCTGGGGTGAGATAACTACAGAAAAATAAATAAAGACGGTAACCCTCCCTCCTTCCATACATTCCCATAGGTACTAATTAACATACACATTTACGACAGTTTCATACGCGTACTTCTATTTCCAATTACTAATTTGTATCATTCTTTAAATTTAAAACATTTTTCTTTCGACCTTCAGACATAAAGTCAAAACTTGAGGGACAATTGGGTTAACTTATTTTTGAAAGTGTTCTCTGGTTTTGAACAAATTTCTTTTTTTTTTTTCTCGAGATACAGTTGTTTCATTATTTGTCTGAAGTAAGTTATTTCACAATTTGAATTAAATAATTTCAATATTTAATGTTTTTATTTGTAAACAAAATTCTCAAGAAAATTTAGTAATTTTATAATTGATTACTGAAAATTAATTACACGTTAACCCAACCCCCGCGCATATTTTTTTTTTTTTTTGTTGGTTCCATCAAGAAAAAAATCTTGATCATCTTCAGGCTGAGTGCAGTTACTGTTTACGATTTCGATTAAAAAAGAAGAAATCAATGGACATTTAAAATTAAAAAAAAAAATTATTGCCACGAGTATTTAATTTCAGAACGGATCAGGATGCTGCAATATGAAACTAGCATCTCTCTCAAAGTATTTGAAAATTTAAACATTATTTTTATGTTTTAAAAATTAATTTTGAATTGCCATAAGGTAGTAGTGGTAGATAGTAGTATCCTTAATGTCACTGATTATACAATGTTAGTTAAACTAGAAGGAAATACTAAGAATTCATCATTGTATTTTTTTTTAGTTATGAAATTGCAATACTTAGGAAATATTTTTAGCTTCGACATTCACATCGCCATCATTAATGGTCAACACTAACAGGAACACTGGGTGGAGGTGTAGTAAAAATACATTTTTATTTTAAAATCTCTTCGATGAAGCGTGTTCACTATTATTACTTTTTTACTTCTTAAACGCATACTCTCTTCTTAATCTTAAGTAATGTCCGTGATAGGCAGGCTACCTGAGTGTGTGATGATGAGAGGTCTCATCATCACACACTTTTTTAATTTTTTTCTGATTCTATATACTGTTTTGTTTTTTTTTTGTGTGTGTGTGTGTGTAAGAGTAGTGTTGTTATTGTCATATACTTAGCTTAGCTTGGCACAAGGCCACTAGTATATGGCACCCCGTGAGAATCGAATTTACTACTAAAATATTAATGGTCAACAAACTACCATGCTAACAATTGCACTTACGTTGAGGCGATAAATAAGAGTTTTAAAAAAGCAATGTACAACAACTGTACATTGGTGATAATCTTCAACAAGTCTCTTTGCGATAATGTCTTTCAATTATTAATGAATTGCCTTTGGCTTTCTTTTTTTTTTTTTTTGTGTGTTATTTGTCTCGATTACTTGAACTGTCATCGTCGTAATCTGCAAGAAAACGCGCTTGAATAATGAAGAGGCTTGCTGTCACTTGATCTCAACATATACCACTACTCGCATAGGTATATAATAATGTGCGATATTAGCTCCTTGATACATGGATATGAAAACAAATACAAGATTGCATTTTCTTAACCTTTCGGTTTGGTTTTAAAGTTTTCAGTAGTGTAACAGACACACGCGCACAGAACTCCTTTTTAGACAGTACTTTAAAAAGAATATAACATTTTGCATCGGTTTTACTTTTATTCACCCTTTCTTTTTTATTTCAATATTCTTTTTATTTTGACTAGTTTCAATAGCTCGTATTTTTTCTTATATTAACATTAAGTCAAAGTGTAAATTTTATGTTTTTAACAATTAAAAAAAAAAAAGATGTGCACAATGCTATTGCGATGTCAAACTCTGCAACTATTGCTTTTGGATTTTTCTTCAAACGCTAAAAAAACTAATGCGATTATTCCTAACAAACACAAATAACGAAAGAAAAAATTTTAATGCCCCCCCCCTCCGGAAAATTGGCAAGAAAACCTGAATAAAAATTATCAAAACTCTAGGAACGAAAGAGAAAGGAATTGTACTTTTAATTGCAAAGCGCAAAAGCCCATCCCAAATGATTCGGATCACTTGGGAGCGCGTATTTGTCAGGGCTCTAGTCCCTAACACACATACACAGGGCCACACACACATACGTGCCAGTGGATCATGTACAACAGACACGCACAGAACATGCATTGAACCCATTTGTTTTGTACGAGACGAAAGGTTTCATAGCAGCATTTTATGCACACACACACACACACACACACACACACGACTATTATACACACGTCATATCGATCCACTCCTTTTCTTGCACACGCACAAAACAGGGTTGTGGAAAAAATCAAGGTGTTGTACAGTTTGTCAGCCACTTTTTCGTCCAGACTTGTCTTAAAAGAAAATTAAACAACAGTTCAACATCATGCATAAATATTCCAGAAATCTGGGTTTTGTGGGGAATTATTTTTTGTCAAAGCTTTTTTCCTTGTGAAATAAAAGTTTCACCAGAACTATGATGATTGATACTTGGTCATTTGTAAAATAATTAGTAACATTGAAAAGTCTTGAATAAAAAATCAAAAAAGAATGTATCACAAAAATCACATTTTTCAACTCATTGCTTGCTGAAATTCAGATCATTTTTATTTTATTGTTTTCTCTTTGTTTGTGAAGTACAAGTTTATGCAAGTATAAATGTTTGTAACTGTTTCTTAACTACATAAAGGCTAAAGCACTGACTTATTGTAAAAAGAAGATAAATATCGCGTACAAACTATCATTTAACAATTTTCTTACTTTTTTCTCTCTTCATTAACTTGGCAAGTTGAAAAGAATTTACCATGCTATCAGTTCTTTCTTGTGATGTAATATTAAAAAAAATTGATTCAGTTACCTTTACCATGACACTTTAGTGAAGGGTAAATCAGTTTTAAGAGATAAGTAAAACAATAGAAATGACACTGTCAAAGAAGATAAGCTGGTCTTCATAATACAAGGACAAGGGTAACGAGCAGAAACAGGTAACAATTTTTTGTGCACACTGTGCGCTTAATGTATACACTCACTCAGAAAACGATTTTTATACATTCAACACACTTTTATGAACGGCATATGCCATAACATTTTATTCCTGAGATGACGATAACTTTATTGTTTGTTCTATGATTTATTTAGGTGATTATCTAAAAAAAAAAAATAAACTCGAAACAGGTAAGAAGCCACTTGATGATCGAAAAGTTCAATATACGTACTGTTAGAAAACTGATTAAAAAAATAATTAGATCCTGTGTTCGTGAATATTTATCTGCAAATGTGATGTAATTTTACAAGTGACTTTGTGTAAAAAGAGTTTGAAATTAATTAATTTATTAAAAAAAAAGATTTGGGAAAATGCTAAAGAAATACTTCGAACATGTGAAATAACAATGTTGTTACGACTGTTCAAGCAATCTCTGAACTACTAAAAACATTATAATTTTTAGAACATTTTAAAAAACATTTTAGAAACACTTTATTAAAGTTTATAGTATGTTTCATTCATTAATTATTCACCGCAATAATATAGGGATAAAAAAAAGGTTAAAATTCTTATACAGCCATACTAGTTTCGAATGATGAATTTAATTTATTTGTAAAGTACTTTAAAAAAACAAGTCATAGTACATTTGTAAAAGAATAGCATTCTTTATATATTACACTTACTTGCCACTATAAATTAAGTAAAAAAAAATGTATATGCAGTTGTGAAATGTGATGGTCATTTCTTCTTATTGAGTAGTTTTTGTCTTGTATTCTCTCTCTCAAAAAAATTAAATAAATAAATAAAAATAATAATAAAAATAAATACAGATAATTGTGGTATCCGAAGTCGAAAGTCTCTAAAGAGAATATTAGCTGTAAAAATAATGGTGAAATAAATGCAAAACTAATGAAAGAAGAATTATGAAAAAAACAAACAGTAATTAAAAAAAAAAAAAAAAAAAAACGTAAAAAAAAGTAAAGGGAAAGGTTTATCCGAGCAAATGAAAATAAAAGATAAATAATTTATCATAAATTGATCAGAGTAAAAATAAAAGAACAATCAAATGTTTTTTTAAACTTTTTAATTTCACTAAAAACCAAATTGGAAATTATTTCAGGAAAATAGCACTTTTTTTTTCTTTTTGCAGCACAAAATTATGAGTAGAAATTATTATACGAAAGAAAAGAAAATAATTTAGGAACACTTACTGGCACTTGTTTTTTTTTAGCGATATAATACATCTGAATATACAAAGATAAATCATTCTCATCAATAATAATAATAAAAAAAAAATATGAAAAAGTTTTTAAAATAATTTATCGTGAATGCAAAAAATAATAAAGAGTAGAAAGAGAACAGTAACACTACTGGTCCACGACCATCGAAAAAACGAAAATGAATGAAATTGAAATGATATTTATTTTAGAATTTAATTTAAAAAATAATTTTTTAATTGACAAAAGATTGAATTTTACAGAAAAAAAGTTTATTACTTTGCAACCCCATCTCCGGTCACCCCGAGTGCAATTCCATCACACTCTGAAGTCCCAATGCTAATCAACGACACAGGTCTTAAGAAGTGAATAACAATCACATCTCCGGTCTTGAATAATACGTAAAGATCGAGTGGTGCCTCAGTGAACACAAGTTCTAAAGCCGATGACGCGGACTGCATAACTTTGTTTTTAATGTTCTGCTATCCAACTGCAGAGTTGCAAGAGCGAAAAGCTGATACGAAAGAAAGTTTGTAAAGTTTAAAGAAAAAAGTATTCTCAGAAGTTTATGAGACAAAAAAAAAAAAAAGAAAAAAAGAAAGGGAACAAGTTGAAAACTGTGGGAGGAGAGTTTGGGGGAATATGATCATCATCGGGGAGTGAAAATCAAAGACCGGAGACTTACAACTTCTAAGAAAGGAAGAAAAGAAAAGGTGAAAATAGAAGAGCAAGGAAAAGAAGAGTCGTTGAGAGATAGCAGTGAGGAGAGGTAAACTTAGAAGAAAAAAAAGCGTAGGTGTGAGTCTCTAAGAAAGAAAGAGAGAGAGTGAGAGAAAGACAATGGAAGAAGTTACTGACAACTGAAGCGTTGAGTAAGAAGAGAATAACTCTATCACCATTTTCTCTTTCCCTTCAGCAGTTTTTTCTCTGTCTACTCTCGCTTTCTCGCTCCCTCTATACACGAGGCCATCATCTGAGTAGTAGCTTCTGAATTTACTTCGACTACAACTAGTAGAACTATTACTGCCACTACTCCAACTGCTGCTGCTGCTGCCGCTGCTGCTAGCCAAACTACTGATACCACTTTGACGACCAGGAGCAGAAAGGGACGCAGAACAACTCCAAATATCTCGGCCTACAACAACAACAACAACAACAACAATAAATTAAACACAACAAATTCTGACAACAGTAAACAACTTCTGCCCGTAGTGCACCAACCGTAAATTGCAATCGGAGTTTACCATAAATTATTATTAATAATACCAAAAAATACTGTGTGTAGTAAAACAACAATTATTTCTAACAACTACAACAATTACTCTTTCTTTAACCACTACAATTACTAGTACTTCTTCTTGGGTTTGGTACACTCTACGATCCAACTGGCTTCGGAGAAGAAGAAAGTTATCTACTAACTAAAAAAAAACTAAACTGACTTCCTAGTTTGGTTTATTGAACGAGACAAAACACACTGTTAAAAAAAAAAAACTACAACAATAACAGCATATTCCGCAGTTTCAATCATAACAACAATTTGATCACACAGAAAAAAAAGTATACCTTCATATAGTTTCTAAACATTTTGGTTTCTAAATCCGAAACGAACAGACTTCAACATCACGATCACTACTTTCTTTGCAAACTACTCTTACTACTACTCAAGTCGGACTGTGACGACGTCTCTTGTAGATGTACAAGCAACCACTTTTTGGGGGGACTCTTTAGAAACTTGTTTTTTTTTTTTCTTCTTTTAAGAAGCTGCTGCTGACATCGGTTCAAAACCTGGTTCGATAACGCCGAAAACGGCTTTAATATCGTCTATACATTTACAACAACCCAAAATATACACACGAGGCATCATCATCATCTCTCATTTCCACCATCATCACCTCAAGCTGTAAACAACATTGCATTATTTGTTATATTGCATTGCATCACTACTATTATCAACAACATTATAAGAAAATAATTATCATCATCATCATCACTCTCATCACAACGTAACAGCATCAACAGCTCCAGCAGCAGTCCTAGCAGCAGCACGCACCTGGCCACCACCGCCATCGCCAATATCGTCTCTCGCCCATCAGCTAACAACAGCACAATAGCTTCACTAGTATATCAGTTTCGCTGGTCCATCTTCTTAGAACACCGTTCGGACTAACGCTCCCAATCTACAACATAGGTGAGTTGTATTTTCAGACAATATGTATTTTTCAATATCTATTTTGTGCCATTGATTTCCGCAGCTTTTTTTATTTTATTTTATTTTCAAATGGCAAGCTTTATCAGACAAATACACACAAAAAAATTACTGTACACCGCTAACGGTACTGTTTGGATCTTTTTTTTTTTTTTTTGCCAACGCTTTTCTACAAATCCTTGCAAGAAGCATGTGCACACATACACAGATTTGCATATTTGTACAGTATCTGCTCTTTGCATACCTTTTTCTTTTTCACTGGTAACACGTTACTTTTTTTTTTTTTAGTTTTCCCTAGTCTTTTGCGACACTTTATTATTTCAGTTAACTTATCTTTATTTTTGGTAAAACTGGTTGCTATGGTTTCTGGTGTTCTATATTCATATTATTACTGAAAATAAAATTAATTAATGAGCGTTTATCAACAGTAGTTGAAATGAGAAAGTGCGTGGTAAAGTCGAATAGTGTCAACATTTTCTTGAAGAAGTGTATAAACAGCTTTCAAAGAACTTAAAAGTTTTGTGTGACTTTCTGAAAGAAGCGCCATTCATTTATATAACGAACACACAAACACACACACACACACACACGCGTGCGCATGTGCGTTCACTTGTACGCGGGTAATTTTATCATTTTTTTTTTTTAATTTTTACTTATTTATTTGTCTGCCTTAAAAACGAGAAACGTTATCAGTAAATGATTTTAGTTTAAATTATGTATTTATCTTCTCCCGTCGAGTGACAGCACTTTCTTCAGAAATACTGATCATCAGTGATAAACATTTTCGTTACCTCTCACAATCATACACTTATTATCGATTTTTTTTAATGTTGTCTTCGTTCCATGGAATGTCCCGTGTTGAAATCTGATCGTGTAACTTTTATTAGTTTTATTCTTTCGAATTTGATCTTCAAAATGTTGGGGGTTAAATGAATACTTTACTAGTGGGTATTGTTAAAAGAAAACTAATGTAATGACGTTAAAATTCGAAATAAAATAAGAGATTTCTCTTTGTTGGGTTAGTTTTTAAATGATACTTTGGCTTCTTGGTGATAAATTGGTCATCCAAACGTCCAAACTATATATTAAGCTTACTTTAATCTGGCACAAGGCTACAAATTTAAAGCACGCTGAGAAGTTGAGTCAAAATTACCAGACTAGAGAGAACGCTAATCATTGCTTCACGATGATGCGCACACGTGACAGTAACAGAATTAGAGAGTCAACTACGAAAATGATTACAAGTTTGGGCCGAGTGTAAAAGTTTAGAAATTTATTTTTATACTCACAATTATAATTATCTAAAAATAAACGGAAATAAAAACATCACAAGAAATTACTTTTGTTGTTTATTAACCATTATTTTTGTTTTTATAATTTCTTAAACAAATAGGAAATCGAGTAATAATGAATTTCTGTTTTTAAGGTTTCGTTAATAATGTTGAATTCACTACTACTCACTTCTCCGGGCTGTATAGGTTATTAAACTAATTAACAACTTACCTCGTTAATTAGGTTGGTAAGATGAATGTGCTTAGCTTAAAAAGCAGATAAAAAATAACTCGTGCGTTGTTCTGGTGACCCATCTTACGCGTCAGCTGGTTTGAAAATTTGAGAGTTTAAAAAATTCGTTTTTTTAAATTGATTTTATTCTCAAATGATTCTCACTGAATCATTAGCTTAATTAATGAGTAGATGAGATGAGAGTATTTATTTACTTATTATATTGTTCAACATGCTGTATACCTTGAGGTGTGTGAATATGTGGAGTAATGTGTTTAAATTTAAAAAAGACTTCATATTTATTTTTGAAATGCCAGCATTTTTTACAGTTATTCTTCGATAAAAAGTAGACGCGTAGCTTTAAAAAGTATTATCAAAGAAAAACTATTAAATCAGTATTGCAATACCATTTTAAACAACTTCATGATTGATAGCAAATTGTTTTATATTTTTAATGCAAAATTGGTAGAAAAACATTTTGTTAATTAAATGACAATGATGACTGATAATGTTCATTAATGGCAAGTTATAGTTTTTTTTTTGTTTTTTTTGTTTTGTTTTGTCATTTACACTTGAATAGCATCACTAAATAAATAATATATCTTTTTGTCTTCATCTCTTTTGCGATTGTTGAGGCCAAACCCTCTAACGTTCGAATTTCTACTGAAGAATGCGTTCTTTTGCCTTCGCAACTTAGTTTACTGGGTCAGCAAGGTGCGCTTAGAGTCTGTCCAGCCAAAGTTGGCCTACTCTCTTCCGTCTCTCTCGTTCACTGACAAGATGCCCCGCGTGTGGACGGACGATTGCCGACAAGTTGGACACCATAGTTCTATCAGCTATCGATTAGTGTCAAAGCATTTGCTCTCTTGTCTTGTACCTTCATCATTGGACTTCTCAAAAGTTCGCGTTTCTCTTTTAAGTCCCATTCTTCCTTTTGTCGTATAATTACTATCTGTAAATCAGTGGCATGGTTTTTTTTTAATTTCCAGCTCATTGGAATCGCATCCGTGCCGGTGTGTGTTTATGTTTGTTTATGTATGCTGTGAAGGCATCTAAGAATGATAATGTTATTGAATCTTTCAGATAATTTGTATGCACAACGTGATGATACACATTATTATTTTCACTCACTATCTGCGTTTAATACAGAGACTTATTGTTTGTGTAACATCATCACACCTCTTCGGAAAAGCATTTTATTTTTATTTTAACAGGCGATTAGTGTGTATTACTATATTCATTCATCATTATACGCCCGCTTTATTAAAATAAAACTTAAAACTAAAAGCATATGAGTTTTTTTTTGTTCATCTCGTATACATACATACATACATACATACATACATACATACATACATACATACATACCTACCTACCTACCTGAAGTTTCGACCAACTGTATTCCACTGTTCTTCATTTTTGTTTTGTTTTGTTTTGTTTGTTGTGTGTATGCGTCTGATAATGAATGGGAATTTATATAGGAAAGTTTTTATTTATTTATTTTGTAATTTCACAATCCCAATGAAATGCCCAAAACATAAAAATTAATATTGTAACAATGTAACTCAGCTTGAAAAACTAATTTTCTATCAGAACAAATTTTTATATGGTATCCGGGTCAATAGTATCTTGTGTTCCAATTTTGGTAAATTCTTGGTACCGACTACTTATCGAACATAAACTTATTTAAAACATAACAAATTTTATGCACAAACAACATGCACACGAGAAAAAAAAAAAAAAAAAAAAGTCGTTAAAAGTAAATTAAAATTGAATTTCTCTGGCTTTCACACTCAAGCGGATAAAACAACCCCAAAAGTAGATATGAAACATTTTGAAGATTAAGTCTCTCCTCAACTATAAACAAGCAAGCAAGTTATGCGAAAAAAGTAGTATATCAAAAGATACCAAGTTGAATTAAAAAAATAATAATTTGGAAACTTGCATGTTTTTGTGAAGAAGTTATTTTTATATTTGATTTGGATTTTTGGAGCTTTTTTTTACAAAAAAATAATGTTTTTTTTCTTTCTTGTTTTTAAGTTTCTCAAAAGGATAGAAATTGAAAAAGGGGGAAGGGTGGCAACGGAGGTGAGAACATTGTAGCAAATTAAAAATACTTGTACTTGAAGAAATAAAAATACAACAATGTAAGTAAAATCATTTTGCTAAAATGCAAGAAGGACTTATCGCGCGATGAGCATGTCTCAAGTGTGAAAAAAAAAATAAGTTAGATAAAAAAAAAAAATAATTTGCTGGTCGGTTATGGCACTGCACGGAAAAGGGGTGGGTCGAGCTGGGAGAAAATGCGAGTTCTGTTTGGTCATGCCCAACATGAATCTCACTCTGCACTTTTTTTTTTCTCTCTCTCTACACAATGCATCTGTTCTATTTCTACTTCACTTCTCTATTTTCCTTCTTTTTTCTCACTGCTTGTTAATGATGCTTGAAACACGCCGATGGCTATATATACATAGGAATTCACCTAACACTCACGCACAGTCATGTATGTGTGTGTGCGTGCGTGCGCGTGCGCGTATACACACATGAGTGTGTATGATATTCTTAAGTACTATTATTTTCCATCTGTATGTTAGGGAATACAACTTGTGTCCTAGTATATGTTGTAGTAAGTAGATATTTATTTATAATCGGCATAAAAATACACGTGCCTTTTATAAATTGTTCGCGCACACACACAGTTCCGCGTCTGCGGTATGTTGTGCTTATTTAAAGCACTTGTCTGTTTATTTTTATTTACGCATTTATATCGGACATCTTTTTTTTTTTTCTCTTTTTACTTTGTTAGGCGCAAAGAGAAAAGTATACACAATGTGTGTCAGTAAATATACGAAGAAAAATATTGCGTTTTTCTAAGTCATACTCAAAAAAACAAATGTTCAGAATTAATTGAAAACTTAGTGAACTTTACAAATTATTAAGAATTTTTTTTTTCAATTGAAGGTGTACAGGTAACGAGTGTAGAGCAAAAGACGTACACTTGCACGTTTGCACCGTGCGAATTATTTTCGTTCTTTCTATTTCATTTTTTTTTTTTTTTTTTTTTTTTATTATTCATTTTCAGGAATTTACTAATAGAATTCTTTGAGTCATTTTATTTTGTTCCTTTTTTTATATTGATCGGGTAGAAATTAAAAAGGGTCCGTGGTGGTCAAATTGAGTGTACTTTCTTTCAATTCAAAGATGCATTATTTAATTTCTAATTGTTAGTATTTCTTTGTTACAAGAGTCCGTACCAACCAAGAAGTAGACAGAAATCTTTGCAACATGTCTAGAGAGACTGGGTTATTAAATTTTATTTATTGGGACTCTACATGCAAAGAGAAAGCAAATGAAAACATGCACATAGGAGAGTGCTCTGAAAGTAATACCCTTTATTATTATTATTATTATATTGGCCCACAACGTCTGAGGCGGATGTGAATGGTATAACGGTACTAAAGATGAACCTTCCCGCCAAT